GTTTTGAATACAGCTAAACAGAACTGAGAAACAGCGGAAATGGCAACCCCAAGTTTTACTTTTGCACCTGTGTGCTTTCTATCACTCCATTATGCAGTACTTTGACTTAGAGGACCATAAAATGGTCACTGTTTTATCCCCTGCAATAGATCAAATATGCTTTTACTGTTTGAGAGCAAGTATGCCCTGTTATGCCAAAATCAGTACACATGACCTTTGATCCAGTAGCTCTCCAAGTTATCATCTTCTATCTCTGTTTACCCCTGTGGAGCAGAAGTAGATACTCAGTGTGCACACTAAGCATGCTCATGATACAAACACTGGCTTTTTGCTCATGTAAACAACTCTGTGTGCTTTGCTAATCCAGAGGTAGACTGCTGTCAGACTGTGTCACTATCTATCAGAATGCTCCTCCAGGGCTTATAAAAGCAGGAGAAGTTGGCTTGCCTAATAATGTGCGCTTGCTATACTGTGGCATGTACACAAACTAGTTTAGGGGGTAAAGCACCATTTGTAACTTTAAAAAAATGAAGTCAGTTTAGTTAAGTCACTCAGTTTTCTGCAGATACAGATTCTGCTCATTTATACATGTTATTGTTCTTCATTATATCGCAATATAAAGTCAGATGGCAAAAATGGCTGTTTATACACACCAGATAAATTAATAATGAATACATATATTTTTAATTTTTCTTCATTCCCATTGATTAACAAGTCTAGGAGGAGTTAGGGAACAGACACGTGTGCATTTGATACAATCATTATAGTAAGATATTTATTTAATTTAAGCCTTTAATCTAAATTGTTCTATTTAAATGAAACAAAAATCTCTCAGTAGTGATGCTGGACAATGGGCAGAAAATCAGATTTTCAGGTGTTTCTGACTCTTTAACAAAGTGTTAAATGTTCTTTACATTTACAACACAGCTAGCTTATTTAAACAGGTCAACATGGCTATTACTTTTAAAAACTGGCTAAAGAGAAGCTCACTCTTAGCTGAATGAATGAACAAATGTTTACTTTTGTCTTTTACATAACCTGTACTTCCCGAAATCAGACATATTACCCAACAACAACAGACCAAACATGACAGCATGTTTCCCACCGTGATCTAAGATCAGCATATCAGAGTTGTATAATAACGTAAACATAAACAGAGACCTCCTAATAATGTTCCAGGAGATATTTTACTATGGTTTTCTAACCAAAGATGTAAATGCTGCATGTGCATATTTGACACAATCCATATATATATATAAGTCTATAATCCGCATGGAGTAATATGAAGAATTTGTCTAACATGTTACTGTTGTCCTCTTTACATGATTTAGAAAGATATATTTATAAAATGAAAAAAAAAACATTAATAAAAATACATTTAAATGAATCTTCAATATCAAAGCCTATCCAAATCAGGAATGTGGACTTAAATAAATAAAATATAAATAATTTCAAAATAAAATGAAGGGAATTTTCCTGTATCTTCCACGTTTAATATGTAATGACAATATTCCCCATCTTTAATGAGCAAAATAAGAAAAATTATATTTAAAACATTTGTGACATCTGTAATCTTTCTTGAATATACAATAAGTTCTTACTTTTACCGTTTGCTCAGATTTCTTCTCCTCATGATTTTGTGAATTTCATTCAGTTTGCTGTTTAAAAAGACTTCAGATTCCAATTTGCTTTAAATCCCAGTGATATATTACACTATCCCCTCTTTTTGGACGGTAAACACAACAACCTATTTGCCATTCTCACCATGTTGGTCTGAAAATCTAAATGTTTGGCCAAACTCCTCGTCTTCATTATCCTTATGAAGTCTGCTTTTTTTTGTTTTTTTAATCCCTGGCACAAACATCCTCTTTTTTTCCAGCTTATTTATTTGTCTCTCCAATCCATTAATACAACAAGCAACTACAATATGGCAATAGAAAACATATTTATTCCTTTTTACATAAGCCATTGGTGCCCTATAAAGAATTAGCTACCCAGTGAAATTCTTCATAAAGCCCTATTTCATCAATCTTAATATTGCGAGCCCACATAATCAGAGACCTCTTATTACCGGGAAGAATTCAGACACGAAAGACAGGACTATATCTCATCACTGTCGACATTTGTTGTGCGGATTTGGCCTCAGTTGCTCCACTAATCTTCTTTTGGTAAAAAGAATTGAAAAGAAGAAACTGCACTACCTCAGCTTGAAAATAGCCAACCAAAAAACAACTAATCAGTTCAAGGCTGCAGCTAATTTGACTAATTAATTATTAATCAATGGATTACTTCCTTTATTAATTCATTCTTTTAAAAATATGACAAGAAAAAATATTCTGGGCCAAAGTCAGAGAGTGAGTGTCTATCTGCCTGAGTTTTAGACATACACTGTACATAAAGGATGCAAGAAGCAGTATTATTATGCACTATTGTATTCAATAAGATTTAAATGTGAGTGCAAATATTTGTCACCTGTCACCCTATGCTAGTTGGGATAAGCTCCAGCCCTCTTGTGACCCTGAATTGAATTTTTGCAACTGCTAAAATACTGGCCATTGGAAAGAACTGGAAGTTATAAGCTAATATGCTACTATAGAAGTTTAAGTCACTTCCATATTAGCTTCACTGAGGCTTTATCCATCTTTTTTTACAGTCTTTTATTCTAGAGCAGAAATATCTTCGAAGATCAAACAAATTTTTACCTAAAGATCCTTACATTTCTGCAGGGCACATTATGTCAGCGTCTCACATCCTCACAAATGGTGACGTGTGCCAGAAATGGTGGGACATTTGGTTTAAACTGCGCTTTGAAGATACAAGAGTACGATTGAGCTGGTTTCTGCCAACATTTCAGTGACACACCATTGCAAAAGCTCTGAGATTCCCATATTACAAGAGAAAGATGTTGCAACAGCTGGAAAATAGGAGACTTCCTTGAAAAACTTTTACCCCCCCCCCGAGTTCTGACACATATCATTTAGGAGACTATTTCAGCAATCTGGTGCCTTGATCACCAGTATAAATGGTGATGGGACTGTGGTGACATCAGTGTTTTCACACGACGTGACCAATCCGCTGACCACAATGAACCCTCAGTGCAGCTGTGGTAAAATACAGCTGTCGTGTTCTTTCCTGGGAGCCTGCTCTCATTATGCTGGATCAAAATCTAATGTGTGCTGGTGCTGTGGTGAGGACTGTGGAGTCAGAGCCAGCTCTGCTAAGTGAAACATTAGTTTTAGTGCGCCTGACACCAAGCATGGGAGTTTTGATTGCAGCTATATTGCACAAGCTGTCTATTGAATTTCTGCCTAAATGTGCTTTTTTTCCCCCCTCTCCTGCACATACAGCCGTCACTCTTCATGAAATGTCAGTGTCATCTCATTCACTGTTCCCTCGCTGTCCCTCTGCTCGCTTCTGTCCTCCCCGATCCTCCCATTTCCCTTTCTTTCTCTCTGTCTCTCATCTCTCTCTTTTGAATCTGCGGGGACAACTAATGAACGGCTTCCCTGCTCTGATTGGATGATGCATGATGTTATTAGGTGGGATGAAAGCAAATATAACTCAGAGGGTATGGAATGGAAAAGGAGAGGAAAGTGAGAGAGTGGAGACAGAGAAATGTTTTGACAGGAGGCTTTGAAAACAAAAGGACGTGCATGCGTGTAACAATGGGAGTAGGTCACAGTTTCACTGATGTTTCAGCCCTGGCACACTTCCTCTGGGAAATAGTCCTACAGATCTCATCCCTGTATCCTCTGCCTCGCTCAGGCTCCTCGCGCTATAGTGTGAAGAAGACGGGCAGATTGCGCAGTGCCCCAGGTCATTCCCAGAGGAGTGTGTGCGAGTGCATGTGAGGAGTATAGTGGAAGGGGAACTCCCAGATGGCCCTCCAGAGGCTCCATCATAAACTGCTCCTTTAACCATCTTTCATCTGCCTTATTAAAGCTGGAATGAAGGGGGCTGATCAGGTCACTAGTCCTGACTGAATAAAGCACTCTGCTACAAGCAGAATCAGGGGAAATGCAGGGTTATCCTTGTTGTTGGAGTAGCACGACATTAAATCAAATCAAATCAAATCACTTTTATTGTCACATCACATGTGCAGGCACATTGGTACAGCACATGTGAATGAAATTCTTGTGTGCGAGCTTCACAAGCAACAGAGTTGTGCAAAATACAATAATGTAAACAAGCAAAATACAAGAATGGCTACATCTGAAACTAATAAATATATGTATAATATATAATAGTATATGCATTTCTGGATGTGTATACTAAATATTTTTCTACGTGTGTGTGTGTGTGTGTGTGCTGAGCTCAAAAGAGAAATCACAACAAAGAGCCTGGTGCTGCAGAGATTCAGTTTGTTAAATGGACACAGAGTAGGCTGTGGGGACTCCGCTCATGAAACATTCAGCTCCTCTAGTCAGTCACATTTAGCACCCAGTCCCCTTGAATATATTGTTTATTTAGCAAGAAGGAGACTGTGAAGTATCTCACTTTACTTTATTTGCTCATGGCACATGGCTAAAGAAGAACAGTGAAACAAACTATGCACTGTATATAAAAAAGATGGATGTTACCAGCATGACATCACCCACTGGTTTCCCTACAGAGAAATCACTGTCTTGTACAAAAAAATACATAGCCGTGTAATATTCTTACATGTTATTGCAAATTGCTTTAAGGTTGTACAAATATTCTTCTATTATAATATTAGAGATCTTCCACCGCCAATAAAAGTTTATAAATGTGTAATGCTGATGCCCAGTTGCCCTTCAGCATACATGATCATTTTAAATTAGTTCATAACAGAAAATCATTAAGGTTACGTCGCACATAAACCACATTCTAGCTTCATATAATACACTTCTTAATTTTTCTCATTGGTGCTTTTGTTTAAAATGACATATTTGACTAACCATTCGTTTTTTTCAGGGCCATTAAATTAGTAAATGTCACATCTGTCTAATGCCACGCTGCTTTCTGGTCCTCCCTTGCAGAGCCACAGCTGAAAGGCATCGTTACCCGGCTGTACAGCCAACATGGATACTACCTGCAGATGCAGCCTGATGGCACTGTCGACAGCACAAGGGATGAAAGCAGCTCATTTTGTGAGTATCAGTGTACAGATATCATGCTTATGTTGTAAGTTTTTAACAATTATTACAAATCTAGCCTCCAGCATTGCTTCTACCCACTTATATATGTATCTAAAACTGGAAAATGGAAATGCTCGTAATTTTTTTGCCAAAGTTAATGCTGTAAAGAACTTAACCGAACAACAGCAGGTGTCGTGCTGTGCTGTAAGGGCCTATGGCTGAAGAGTGGAGGAAAAAGTTAGGATTTTGTCAGCTCACCTGTCAAAATTGGTTCAATTAGGACTGTTATTTTTGTCTCTTAATAGGAAGCACATCATGTCGCAGTGCCTGTCAAACTTTGGCAATTTAGTGTGTTCGGCTCTCATGCAGAAACGCTTGGATCACAGATTCTGATTGGATCTGCAGGTCACTATATGCACTTTATAAACCAGAGAGAGCAGTGACATATTGCAACCGTTGAGACGATGTGAATGTTCCTCCTGACCTTTTGCAAACTAAATCTGGCCATCAGAGCGGAAACTATGCAGTGCTCTCTTATCATTTCTTTGTTTTTGACCTTCAAGAGTCAGACATGGGCCTTTTTTCAAGCCGAAGTCTGAATGTGGCATTTTATTTACTCTCGATGTAACATTACTTCTTGGTGAACTGTTAACTAGCTTACTAGTGTATTTTACCAACACTGCGTTGCTGTCTTTACTCTAAGCTGCAGTTGGCATGGCAGAACATTTCCATTATTGTTCAGTTTTAGTGGCAGCACAAAGCTCAGTGAAGGTGACAGAGTGTTATGTTTCCATAAACATAAAGTAAGAGGTCACTGCATTTGGGCTTAAGAGAGAAACCGCAGGCAGCACTGACACTGGAGCCATTCACCCTGCAAATATGAATACAGAATAGCAGAATGTGTTGTGATATGGTATTGCAGTTTGATTTTCTGACTTTTTCCTTTCCTTTCTTCTCTATCTCTGACTTTATTTCCCAATTTAGCACAGTTCAACTTAATTCCAGTGGGGCTGCGGATTGTGGCAATTCAGGGGGCAAAGACAGGGTTGTACCTCGCCATGAATAGTGAAGGATACCTCTATACATCAGTAAGTATACCCATTAGGCTTATACAAACAAAATACTTCCATTTCATGACATATCTGAGATATGTTGCTGTGACACTAAATCCAAGATGATTGTTCTGCTTTTGGATTAGAATGCATCCATTGAGGTTTGGATAACAGCTGCGGGGTCCTGATATCTTTCCTACAGAAAAGCTAATGCCTACTCACATCACTGACAAGGAAATCAAACAGGAGAAAACCAATCAGGGCGTTATCATCAACTGTCATATTGGATTTAGAGGTTCAGTTGTCTGTCACTTAGACTTCAGTTTACCGTCTCTTCTATTTCAGCATAATTTGCATGACATGGGTCTGATGATGTATACGTACATGCATCACAAACCTCGCAATGCATGTATATACAGAACTGTAAAAATGAGGGTAAATTCAAGATATAAGCCCACTTACCACAAAAGCTTGCATATTTTTTGATTCTTGCCTCGCTTATTTATTGCATTGAAAACATAAATTCAATTTTAAAACATTTTTCTAATTTATGAACTTAGAAAGGTGTAAAACAGAAATAAAGTAACAAAGAGTGAAAAGAACAATATATTAGTATGGGTATTAATATAAGTTGATGTATTACAGTTTGTAAAGCTATTTGAGAACACACTACTAAATAGGATGTCAATAAATAATGACAATTTTCTCCCTTTGGGTTGCATGGGGTTGGTCAACTAGATTGTGATCTTGTATGCTAAAGTAATCTTCAACGTCTTAATCACAGCTATGTAGATAAAAATATTTTTTAGCTATAAGTTCAAGCACTTCAGAAAGGACCTCACAAGTATGAATGGACCATTTTCCCTACTGCCATTGGTGTACAGATTACAATCATAAGGTGGTCGATGTCTGTTGTGACTGCAGTGAGCCCAGAACCAGAAAGTGGACACAGGAGATGAGTCCTGTCAAGCCTGGATAGTTTAGGAGGCAACTGACAAGTACTGGAATGCTAAGCAAAGTGTGGTTCTAACAGTAGCAGAAGCAAAAACTGAAGCCACAGAGCATGACTTTCAGTCAGCCTTGAGGTAATTCTAGCAAACTGTCAGGTGACACAAGGAGAAAAGCAGCTTCCAACTCACACTTTATTCAGTGGAGATGGAGAGCTGCTAACTTCAACAGAGGATATAGTCAGATAGTGGAGTACTTCGAGAATCTCTTCAATCCCACTGACACACCTTTTGTAGTGGAAAGAGAGACAGTGAAGAGAGAGGTCAGGAGGTAGTTAAAAAACATTTTGGTGGCAGGGCACTAGGGGTTGATGAGCTTCACCCTAAGTTTCTTCTGCATTGCAGCTATAAGGGGATCACACTACTCAGCTTGACCAGTAAGGTCTATGCCAGCATACCTCAGAGGAGAGTTCAACCATTAGATGAATCTTGGATTCTGGATAAATAATGTGGTTTTCATCCTGGTCATGATATTTGAGGGTGTATGGGAGATTGCTCAACCAGTCTACATGTGTTATGTGGACTGGGGTATCCTGCGGGGGATGCTTGTGGTGGTATTGGGTATCAGGACTGTTTTTATCTGGTCCAGTTACCTGGTCCCTGTAAAACCATAGTAAGAGCTTGACTTTCATTGCCAGCAATAAGTTAGCTTGATTCTAAGAGGGCTTTAAATTCCACCAGGCCTTCTGTTTGTCACCGATTCAAAAAGGGAAGGGAAAATTCTATAAAAAAAAGTCTGTTTTGGGCTTTTTTATTTCTAGGTGCAGCCAAGGGGTGGAAGGTGTCGGGCTCAGTGGTTTCAGGTTCATATCTCTGCTTTTTTGGCTTCACCGAGTAAATGACCTTCTGTTTGCACTGAGGTGATTTGCACCTATAAGTGTGAAGTGACTGGGATGAGAAATAGTGCCTCAAAGCAGGGTTTTGCTGTCAACTATCATTCATTGATTGTGATAGTAAGCGCAAGAACGATCCTTTCTGAGCATGCCTAGATATACAGCATTATTCTGGTCACTATTGTTGCCATTAAAATGTTCAGTCAGTCTATGGCTATACTGAACAAAGCTAAATAATCACTAGGGTTTGAGAGTAACGAAATTTCTATTCTCTGTATGTCCTGTACATGTGGCAGAATTGACAAATAAAGTTGACTTGACTTGACTTGATAATTGCAAATATAGACATTGATACTAGAGACCTTACAGATCATTTGTACCAAAACAATTTAACCTATCTTTATGCTGCAGTATTTTAAAAAACATTAATGTGGGGACTTTGATGTAATCATCTTCTTGTCCTAGTACAGCTAGAAAATAAACAGCTCTGGTCAAGTGAGTTATGCTAAACATGTTACGCTACACATATTTTACTGAGATAGTTTATAATTCAGAAACATCTTTAGAACCTTTTAACTGTTGACGTTTTATTTTTTTTATTGCAACCAATAGAATATAATGAGTTCCGTACTTGAAACAGGGATAAAAGCCTGAGGTATGTCAAATTACACAAGAACTGGACTGAAAGTCAGAGGTACTTGGGTCTTAAGGAGTGATGAATCCAAGTTAAAAAACTAATGAACGTGCTGGGGATCTTGTCAAAACTAATGGAAATATGAAAGCAGAAAAGTTCCATCAGATTGTGATCCACCATGTAAAACCATCTGGAAAGTATCTGATGGCCAGCAGCACAAAAGTGGCCCCACTGATTTGCCTTCTGTAACGGAAGGAAAGTCTGGGAACAATAGGGAGTGACCTCAAGAGGCCAGACCTCAAGAGGCACCACAATGGTTGGTGGAACCCTTCAAGGACCACCACATCTCAAAAACGAGTAGTTCCTTTATTCAAGAAAGGGAACCAGAGAGTGTGCCCCAACTATTGGGGGATCATACTCCTCAGCCCACCTGGGAAGCTTCATGCCAGGATACTGGAGAGGATATTTAAGCGTATATCAGAGTTAGCCCCACGAGTTTATGTGCCTTGTGACTTACAGAAGGCATTCAATCATGTCAATTGCATGGTAAAATAGCATCAGGAGCTCATTCATTTGGAGTACACCCACCATTCGACGGGTGTCTAACTTCAGTCCCTACTCCAAAACAGCTGAATCAAATGATTGGATTTTCTCTTCAGCATGCCATCAGCTTTGGCAAAGGCCTGGTAACAAGCCATTCATTTGATTCAGGTGTATCGGAACAAGGATGCATCTAAAAGGTGCAGGGCAGTAGCTCTCGAGGACTGGAGTTGGACAGCCCTGCGCCATTTCTTCACATTGAAAAGAGCCAGTTGAGGTGGTTTGGAGATCTGATTTGGATGTCCAAACCACCTCCTTCTAGGTAAGGTGTTATGGGCATGTCCTACACTGAGAGTTTAAATCTCTCGATTGGTTTAGAAATGCCTCAATATCCCCCGGTAAAGCTGGAAGAGGTCAAGTCATGTTTATTTCTATAGCGTACTTAAAAACAATTGCTGTACATCTAAAACAATAGCCAAAGAGTGAGGTTGGGGTTACTCTGCTTAGACTGCTGCACCCCGCAACCTAAAGCCAGATATGCCACAGCAGATGGATGAATGAATGAACGGATGGATGGATGCTCTATTTACAAATTTCAATAGATTGCTACACCCTTTTTCAATTTTCCAAGTTATAATAAGAGATAGCTCAACACTTGTACAGTTCTGTAGTTTTTGCTCCATAGTAGTGAAATAAGTCATCAGATCCTTAACTGACGTAAAAGTAGCAATACCACACTGTGGCAATACTCCGCAACAAAATAAATATCCTGTCAACTTAGAATATGTGAGGCAATGCTTAGTAGCAAAATACAACAATTTATTTTTCAGAAATGTGTCCCAGGTCTCTGTTTTATGTATATATTACATTTTACCACTTTAGATATTTAAGTATTTATTTGAAGTCATTTATATTCTTAAAAGTCGACCTTTCACTGTTTAAGAAAATAAAATGTTCAGGCTTTGAGACCAAGCATATACAGTACCAACTCATCTGGGAGTTTTAACTAAATAGTTTATACTTTAAGAAGTGAAGGAATGGACAAAAAGGGCAGATGGATAGTTCCAATGTCGTCTGTCTCAGAACACTTGACTCTTTCAGTCAGCACCTTGGACAGCTTTGGTGTCACTTCAAGAGGATAAAGTCTGATCAGCACTCTGGACAGTGCTTGCAATACTGCTTACATGCGATTAGTGTCAAATCACTTAACCATGGCTACATGCTTAAAAATTTATGACTACTACAGGAAATGTTGACTCTTTACACCTTACTGTGACAACTTTGTTTTCTATGAAATCCTGCATGAGATAAAAATACCAAGGTGATAAAGTTACATTTGTTGCTATAAATAACAAAGACCAGGTTATCTTAAAGTCACTAGAAAGTTAGACTGTGCACAGCTGATCATTTTTCACCTTGTGTCAATATCCTAGCTATGAAAAAGTACAAATATTGAATCACTCATGCACCCATTTGTAAAAACACATTTATTTATTCATGTATGTTGTATAACTAGGATCTTTTCTCTCTACTGGTTATATGTGCTGCTTTCAAGAACGGAAAATTACATGCAAAATCAGTGAATGCAAGTGTGCATCGATGCATATAAATGCGAGAGGACCATCTGTGCATGAAAGAGTCAAATCTTGAATATTGGCATATGGACTGCAACATCTCTTATTATCTTCTCAGCCCCTGATTAGCATGCATTAGACTTTGGTGCCTTTCCTCTGTGCGAAGAGGAGAGAAGGGATTTCCTCAGCAGCAGTCGATAGCTGTAGTACATCCCAAACTGACCTCTTTCGGAGAGATTCCTCTCTTTTACACACAGTTATGGGCTCATATAGGTGCAGTACAACAGAACATGATTTTCTTTTGGCCATAAAGCATGTTCTAATTTCTGAAACATTAGTAGTCTCATTTTATTTTATTTAATCTTAGTTCTTTGAGTGAGTGCATTTGGCAAACATCTGCATAACTTTGTGCTGTGTTTAAATGTAAATCATCTTTTTCATTTAAAAG